TATATATATACTCACGCCCACCCCACCCCACCTTCAACCCCCCACCACATATACCCCAAGCCTCAAGTATGTTTCTCAAATTTTGGAAAGCTTCTATTGTTTGTGTATGTTTACAACCTTCAATAAGTTTCTTTAATTACGTATGTCAACAAGAAACCTATTTTAAAAATCAGTTTCGTTTGAGCTCAGAATCACATCAAAACACAACAGTCGAAATTGAAATAATAAGAATTATAGTCTTTAAAGCATTCCTTCAAGAAAATACTTGCAATACATATACCATCGTAAACCTAGAAAAATACTTGCAATACATAAACCAACATAGTTTGACTTAGAAATACATGAAAAGAATTATAGTTTGAGCTACAAATAACATAAACACATAAGCGTCAAATTAAAAATAAGAAGAATTATATTCTTCAAAATGGTAGTCTTCATGAAATCGAACAACTAGAGTTCTCCTATTTATTCTTGACGACGATAGATTTAATGTTTTTCTTGGACACTAAAGAATGCAAAATCAGGTCTTCTTATTATTCTTGAAGAATGTGAAACATTAAAGAAAAAAAATGTTTTAAACCTTTAAAAATCAAAGAGGAATATGAGCATTGGGATTTAATGGCAGAAATCCAAATGTTTTACATATTACCTTTGCATCCCTATGTCATTTAGGCTACCAATCTCTCTATGTTGGGTGCTCTTTTGATGAAGGATATTGGTTCTTGATAAGATTAGCCAACTTGTGTGTAAAAATACAATTGTTTCCTTACATCCTACATTTCTCATTTCAACCATATGAAATGTGCTTTTTCTATATCTTGTCTTAAAATATAATAAATATTAAATTTGTTTCTTTAATTAAATAGATAGGTAGGTTGATAAAACCGGTTAAAAAGATAAGTATGAGGCTGAAACCTTTTTAAAGGATAAAGATAAAAAAGTACACTACCAAAATTTCCAGAAATAGCAACAGTTTACAAAAGTTATTGAATACAACAATGTACTTTAAAACAATAGCATATATGATTTTACATCCATATTTAAAGTCACTCTCGGAGCGGTGTTCTATTTTCTAATTCAATCCCTACTTTGTTTTTGTAAGATTGACAAAAATAGATTTATGACTATGTATAAATTATGAAGAGTTTGGTATAATATTGATGGTAGAAAAAAAGAAAATGATTAAGTTTGATACTATTCTCATTGTAGAAAATGACGAAAATAGATTTATTTTCATTGATTAAGCATTTATGTTCGAAAACATCTTTTTTTTTTTAAATATTGCGTCAGACCTTTTGTTATCTAAAAATTTTTAGTAAATAATTTTAAAAGTACAATCGATTCATAAATATATTTTTCAAATACTATAATTAAGTTAAACTATAGAAAAAAAATAACAATGTACTTGAAAGTAGGATGCTATAATAAACAAATCACCAAATCTAAGAGCATTATGTACAAAAAAAAATAACAACTTTTATATGAATGACATAAATACTATAATTTGGAATATTTGCCATAGTATAATGCTATAATAAGAACAAATGAAAGTAGAATGCTATATAAAAAATATAAAATCAATATATTTTCTTACATTGGTCAACCCGGTCACCGGACGGGTATAACTCTAGTTAAACTATGGTTGTTGTACAACAAGTTGACTGAAGACGAAAGCTAGTGAAAAAACATACATCTTAATAATTTTGACTCTACATCAACTAATATTGAGGAGTTATGGGCATAGTTGAATAAGTCTATTATGTTTTGACGCTTACACTTGCATGTACCATTTATGAGAAAGGCGCAAATAATATTGAAGAGTTATGACCCCCGAAACCAAATGAGCTCGACATCGCCACCTTGATGTCCAATCTTTCTTTCTTTTTCCCCACTAACAAATTTATGTCCTGATCATTCATATATGATATTATTGACCATTCATGTAATGGTCCGCGAAATAATATATATA